TGTCTGTGTCTGTGTCTGTGTCTGTGTCTGTGTCTTGTTGTCTGTGTCTGTGTCTGTGTCTGTTTGTCTGGTCTTGTGTCTGTGTGCTGTGTCTGTGTCTTAGTGTCTGTGTCTGTGTCTGTGTCTGTGTCTGTGTCTGTGGTCTGTGTCTGTGTTCTGTGTCTTTGTTGTGTTCTGTGTCTGTGTTCTGTGTCTGTGTCTGTGTCTGTGTCTGTGTCTGTGTCTGTGTCTGTGTCTGTGTCTGTGGTCTGTGTCTGTGTCTGATGTCTGTGTCTGTGTCTGTGTCTGTGTCTGTGTCTGTGTCTGTGTCTGTGTCTGTGTCTGTGTCTGTGTCTGAGTCTGGGTCTGTGTCTGTGTCTGTGTCTGTGTCTGTGTCTGTGTCTGTGTCTGTGTCTGTGTCTGTGTCTGTGTCTGTGTCTGTGTCTGTGTCTGTGTCTGGTCTGTGTCTGTGTCTGTGTCTGTGTCTGTGTCTGTGTCTGTGTCTGTGTCTGTGTCTGTGTCTGTGTCTGTGTCTGTGTCTGTGTCTGTGTCTGTGTCTGTGTCTGTGTCTGTGTCTGTGTCTGTGTCTGTGTCTGTGTTCTGTGTCTGTGTCTGTGTCTGTTTCTGTGTCTGTGTCTGTGTCTGTGTCTGTGTCTGTGTCTGTGTCTGTGTCTGTGTCTGTGTCTGTGTCTGTGTCTGTGTCTGTGTCTGTGTCTGTGTCTGTGTCTGTGTCTGGGTCTGTGACTGTGTCTGTGTCTGTGTCTGTGTCTGTGTCTGTGTCTGTGTCTGTGTCTGTGTCTGTGTCTGTGTCTGTGTCTGTGTCTGTGTCTGTGTCTGTGTCTGTGTCTGTGTCTGTGTCTGTGTCTGTGTCTGTGTCTGTGTCGGTGTCTGTGTCTGTTTCTGTGTCTGTGTCTGTGTCTGTGTCTGTGTCTGTGTCTGTGTCTGTGTCTGTGTCTGTGTCTGTGTCTGTGTCTGTGGCTGTGTCAGTGTCTGTGTCTGTGTCTGTGTCTGTGTCTGTGTCTGTGTCTGTGTCTGTGTCTGTGTCTGTGTCTGTGTCTGTGTCTGTGTCTGTGTCTGTGTCTGTGTCTGTGTCTGTGTCTGTGTCTGTGTCTGTGTCTGTGTCTGTGTCTGTGTCTTTGTCTGTGTCTGAGTCTGTGTCTGTGTCTGTGTCTGTGTCTGTGTCTGTGTCTGTGTCTGTGTCTGTGTCTGTGTCTGTGTCTGTGTCTGTGTCTGTGTCTGTGTCTGTGTCTGTGTCTGTGACTGTGTCTGTGTCTGTGTCTGTGACTGTGTCTGTGTCTGTGTCTGTGTCTGTGTCTGTGTCTGTGTCTGTGTCTGTGTCTGTGTCTGTGTCTGTGTCTGTGTCTGTGTCTGTGTCTGTGTCTGTGTCTGTGTCTGTGTCTGTGTCTGTGTCTGTGTCTGTGTCTGTGTCTGTGTCTGTGTCTGTGTCTGTGTCTGTGTCTGTGTCTGTGTCTGTGTCTGTGTCTGTGTCTGTGTCTGTGTCTGTGTCTGTGTCTGTGTCTGTGTCTGTGTCTGTGTCTGTGTCTGTGTCTGTGTGTCTGTGTCTGTGTCTGTGTCTGTGTCTGTGTCTGTGTCTGTGTCTGTGTCTGTGTCTGTGTCTGTGTCTGTGTCTGTGTCTGTGTCTGTGTCTGTGTCTGTGTCTGTGTCTGTGTCTGTGTCTGTGTCTGTGTCTGTGTCTGTGTCTGTGTCTGTGTCTGTGTCTGTGTCTGTGTCTGTGTCTGTGTCTGTGTCTGTGTCTGTGTCTGTGTCTGTGTCTGTGTCTGTGTCTGTGTCTGTGTCTGTGTCTGTGTCTGTGTCTGTGTCTGTGTCTGTGTCTGTGTCTGTGTCTGTGTCTGTGTCTGTGTCTGTGTCTGTGTCTGTGTCTGTGTCTGTGTCTGTGTCTGTGTCTGTGTCTGTGTCTGTTCTGTGTCTTGGTCTGTGTCTGTGTCTGTGTCTGTGTCTGTGTCTGTGTCTGTGTCTGTGTCTGTGTCTGTGTCTGTGTCTGTGTCTGTGTCTGTGTCTGTGTCTGTGTCTGTGTCTGTGTCTGTGTCTGTGTCTGTGTCTGTGTCTGTGTCTGTGTCTGTGTCTGTGTCTGTGTCTGTGTCTGTGTCTGTGTCTGTGTCTGTGTCTGTGTCTGTGTCTGTGTCTGTGTCTGTGTCTGTGTCTGTGTCTGTGTCTGTGTCTGTGTCTGTGTCTGTGTCTGTGTCTGTGTGTGTCTGTGTCTGTGTCTGTGTCTGTGTCTGTGTCTGTGTCTGTGTCTGTGTCTGTGTCTGTGTCTGTGTCTGTGTCTGTGTCTGTGTCTGTGTCTGTGTCTGTGTCTGTGTCTGTGTCTGTGTCTGTGTCTGTGTCTGTGTCTGTGTCTGTGTCTGTGTCTGTGTCTGTGTCTGTGTCTGTGTCTGTGTCTGTGTCTGTGTCTGTGTCTGTGTCTGTGTCTGTGTCTGTGTGTGTCTGTGTCTGTGTCTGTGTCTGTGTCTGTGTCTGTGTGTGTGTGTGTGTCTGTGTCTGTGTTTTTGCGTCTCTAGGTCTTCGTGCCTCTTCTCCCTCCCTCCATCCCTCCCTCCCTCGCTCGCTCGCTCGCTCGCTCGCTCGCTCTCTCTCCTCTCTCTCTCTCTCTCTCTCTCTCTATGTCGCTCTGTCTATACAGCCTTCTTCTGTATCCGTGGCTGCGTCTGTTTCTGTCTCCGTCTTTTCTATCAATATGTCTGTCTGTCTGCCCGCCCGCCCTCCTGCCTGCCTGCTTTTCTCCGTCCGTCTGTCTTTCTGTGTGAGGAAACTGTCTCTCTCTCTCTCTCTCTCTCTCTCTCTCTCTGCGTATTGCATTGTTTGTTGATGTGTTGTGTGTGTGTGGGTTTAGACAAGATGCTCCAACGTTCAAACCGTTATCGTTCAGAACATACCATAACATATGGCTCGCCCTTTATTCAACCTCAACAAGTGACAAGGTGTAAGTTCTGGTCTCAGCAAAAAAAAAAACACCACTGTTCAGGCCACACTATGGGGTGCTGAACTGCAAGGATTTGGTCTGTTTTACTGTGTTCCTAGACTCAAAGGCTTCTTCGACCAACCTGCATCTGCTCAAGTGGGCCAACTGTGTTCTTCCATGCCTGGCTGACCACTGTAATTCCCAGCTTCACCTGCCGCTGATCCTCGCAGGCCTCAGGGGATTCGCTGGAGTCTTTCAGGTTTCGGCGTATACTGAAGTCTCGCCCAAAGCAATGTGGCCATGGGTCAAAATCCCGTACCCCCAGTGAACATCCCAATCCCCACTAAAATAGATTGAAAGGGGTAGTGCACGCCCCCCAAAATGGTACCATTGGTTTTGACCCACAGCCATGTATTTTGCTGACAGGACATATTCTGATGGATAGCCACACAAGAACGTGAGTTGAGTTTTTGCCAAACGCACTACCCTTCCTCCGCCTGATCTGAAGAATCTCTCTGACTCAGATCTTGAAGATCCAGGTAGGTGATGTCCGGAATCTGGGCTTCCAGCTGTTGCCGGAGCCGGGTTTGAGCATGCGGGCAGCTGGGCCACCCATCTTTTGACATGGCGACAGCGAGAACCAATGGAGAGCCGGGGAACTCATCCCTCACGTCGATTTCGTTTATTCGCAATGCACTCGAGCAAGCTCAGACTCGGGGGAGCTGCAGAGTAGTGTGTCGAAGTGCTCGAGTCTTGGTTCCAGGGTAGCTCGGCTTGCTCTCTGTTCACAAGCCAAGTCTGGGTGCAAGTCTCTGGAATTCAACAGCTGCAGCCGCCAAGAGAGTAGTACCTTCACTTGCTCTGAGTTGATCCCGTCACCACCTTTGTTGCGACAGCTCATGCCAAAAACAAAAAAAACAAGACATGACAAAGAGTTCCATGGATCAAGAAGTCCCAAAGAAACAGCGAAACGTTGGCAGCCGCCACCTCTCCCAGCCCCTTGCCACTTGACTCGCGGCTCCTGGCTGCCTCGAAATCTGCGCTCTGGGGGCTCAAGGCGATGAGCCGGTCGTAAGCGGCCTCTCAGGCGTCGGGGAGTCGATGAGTCGGTGAATCGGGAAGATGTACTCGCACATGCGTCGGGAAATTGAACTCGTGCCACTGAGACATCTTGACTCTTGGCTCTGAAGTCGGCATTGGATCACATTACGGGAGCAGCAAGCCTTTGGGACAAGCAACTTGCGAAGAATCGCCATACAAAGCTCCAAACAAAGGATTGTCTCGTGATATTTCTGAAAAACCAGTCCTCATCGGTGACCAGCCCTCCTACCTCCGGGCAGATAGGTTGGGATCTCCAAGGCGACGTTCTGGACCCGCCAAGCCACAAGCATGAAATAGGCCGCTTGCCCCTCTTGCAGGCAGAGGTTGACAAATACACAGTGGTCTCAAACATGGCTGTGGCATCTGGCCATGGGTCAAAATCCGAATCGTACCCCCAGTGACATCCCAATCCAACCACTAAAATAGGTTCTAAAAGGGGTGGTGAATTCACCGAAAACCCCAAAATGGGATCAACCAAAACGGTTTTGACCACCACGGTCATCTCATGGCAAACCTTCCATAGGCACAGAGTTCCATGTCAGAAGTCCATGCTCACGCCTTGCCTCGCAGGCAGCTGCACGAGGATTGAAGTGGCTGGGCACCTGGTGATTTCAGGGCTCCAACTTGCGATTTTAGTTGAAATTTCAAATTGATTTGCCGTTTGCATGAACGCCCTGTTTGGGCCCGTTTCCTAGTGCCGTGTGGTTATGTAGTCATGCATACTCAAGCTGCCCAGGTCCATGGAGCGCTCAAAAGGGGCCCTGAAAGTTCCATGGACCATGCGGTCGTGCACCTGGTCGTGCACCTTTGAGCGGACACACAAAAGCACACACAGGGCTTGACTCAGTTCACAGCAGACAGATTGGCAGTGTTGAAGCATCACAGCCGCTCCCAACAGCTCGCTTTTGCGGAGAGCATGCGGTTGCGCATCCTTAGGGTAGCGAACGCAACATATCTCAACAAGCATGGCCGGACACTTGTTGTTTTTCTGCCTCAGGGTTCCTGACAGGAAAAGGGCCCAAAGAGGGAGTTCATGCAAACAACTGCAAAACAACTTGATATTTCAACTGAAATCGCAAGTTTTCGTCAAGAATCCACGACTACAAAACCACACGGCACTAGCCTACATGGCCAAAAGCCAGATTTCTCAACATGGCCTCCCTGCCTTGCGGTTTGCGCGCCTTCAAAACGGATTTGGATGCCCATTTCGCCTTGTTGTGAATCCGCCAGTGCAGCGCGAAGCGGCGCATCTCCTGGCACCAGTGAGTAAGCAAATTTAAATGGTGTTAAGATGGTCTAGGACCTCAGCACCGATTCATGATTCTGAAAAACAGCGTGGCGGCAAGAGTGTGTCGACTTCATTACAAACACAACAAAGTGTCCAAGGTCCAATTCGGCTTGACGCAAATCTGGAAGGTTGTGCCAAAAACCCAGGCCGTTCCGAAGAAATGCATCTTTCCTGACAAACCAAACATTTCCGTGTCTGAAATGGAGTCGTTCTGAGGCTTGCGACAAATCCACGACAGGAGCGTGGTAAGAATGCTCCACGCAGGGGTTCCTTCGGACTACTTAAGCCAAAGGCCTTCAGAGCGTTGCCTCGGTCACCCCCACTACGTTGCAATGCCACCAAAGGGGGGCCTGACTTTAAAAGGCAATCTGACAAACTCAGCACTAACAAATGAAAGCGAGACAGGAAAACACATTGGCCGAGTTGTCTTTCAGCCCCCTCTTCATTTCAACCATTTCTCGTCGAAAGCCGCCAAAAGCTGTCAATATTTACATCCTTTACTACCATCAGCCCAAGTTTAAACCAACCATCCACAAAAGGAATCTAGGCAAACCACTCCCAGTCACAACAGGAAACCGGGAATTTTCAGTGAAGCACCTCCATCGCCGCTCAGCTCGCTCGCAGAACCCCCGCCTCCGGCACGGCGTTGCGGCGCCGCTCCCGCACGCCCTCGTAGCGGTACGGCCGCGGCACCGGGAACCTGAGCCGCCGGAGGGGTGTGGCTCAAAATTAAGAGGGGCAAACCGCAGGTGTTGGTCCATGTGTCCACTTCCCAGGCCTGGATTTTGGTTCAGCTTTTTTTCTTAAAGCCGCAGCCAGAGAATGTGCCTTCGCCTCCCGGCTAACATGGAACCCACCAGCTTCCTTGGCTAGCGGGAGGAGCTGGACCAGTGTATGGGCCTGCCTCCTTTCGAGGGTAGTGACCCTTTTTTGGTGGTGAACGAGACAACCCAACGGGTTTCAACTGCCAAGTTTGGGGGAACACAAACTTCGACGAGAACCCCATGCTTGCAGCAGCTGTAGCCTGGCCAACTCAGCGCTGACTGATTCGTTGCAAAAAAACCAAGGCTTCCGCCTTAAACGCCCGTGACAACAGAACGAGGCAAGACCCAAATATTGGAGGCCTTTTGCAAAAAAGCAACAACTGGCCACTCAAAGAGCAAAGGAAGACCAACGATCGAATTCAGTTCAGAAACATGCTGCCCATCTGAAGCCAAAACTGTGCGCCGACCAAGGCTCGAAAGCGCCCGACACACCAAGCTCCGAGCTCCAAGTTCTCTGTGTCGCTGCTGTAGACCTCCAGACGGACGTCCGGACACCGCCACGACACCCCAACAACCCCAAAGGGGAAAGCGCCGAAATATGAAACAAGGACGCCTTGCAATCAGTGGATGTGAATTGCTCAAAAACAAGATCTGAAAAGAATATGTTGGCATTTCATGGAGGGCACAGGCGGGGTCCGCGTACCTAAAGCACCATTGCAGCAGTGCTCGTGCTCGGAGCTGCTCGATGATTTCACCTGAGGAGCCTTCACCGGCCAGACCATTCCTCCCAATTCACATGAAGAAGTTGAGAAAAACAAGCTACAAGCAATTTGATTGGTCCCGGCTGCTTCGCTTGATTCACTACGGCCAAATGGGACATCTCTGAAAATCCCATTAGTTTGGATTCTGAAGCCTCCCTCCCCCACCCAAGGCAGCAGCTTCCCTCGCAAAAATGCAACGAAGGATGTGGTTGCAGATGGTTGCCGTACTGAGTTCATCTTGCTCCGATGGCTGCACTTGGCATGCAAAGTCCAAGATCTCCAGGGACTATGAAAGGTGTTCGACCTGCATTGTTTAGGACTGGAAGTGTGAGGGAAATGGCCACCTATATCCAACATGACAAATTGGAACGCGGGCTATGGCCGCATGGTCCAAAGGGCCAAAGGGCCAAAGGGCCAAAGGGCCAAAGGGCCAAAGGGCCAAAGGGCCAAAGGGCCAAAGGGCCAAAGGGCCAAAGGGCCAAAGGGCCAAAGGGCCAAAGGGCCAAAGGGCCAAAGGGCCAAAGGGCCAGCCGACTTAGAGCAAATTCACCCGCTTCAGTATGGCCCCTTTGAACCCATGGATCATGGGTTCAGCAACCGTGATTGCAAAATCGCATCTCCACCCAGCCACCTGCACTGGATAGATTGCATGGAAGTGAGTGTTGTTGTTTTTTTTTTTTTTTTTTTTTTTTTTTTCGCTGGGTGGACTTGGTGCCGAAGCAGCACCGCCGCGCACACACACACACACAGCGTTTCCGGAAGCAGAGATCGGAACGTTTCACAACCCTTCAAAGCCCGCCCCAGTTGGGGGGGTTCCCGGCCCGCAGCAGGCGGATGCCATCGATGCTCTTCAAGGCGCTGCGGCACATGGGGCAGTTCCGTCCTCCGTTGCTTTGCTTCACAAAGCAAAGCCGCTCACAGGCACGGCCAAAATTGCTTGACCCAAGAGGGCCTGGGAAAAGATGAGTTCACCGCTTCACCCCAGGTTTTGTGAGAACTTTGGGAGGTCCTGGCAGCTCTCAGACAATGACAATATTAACCCGAAACACATATTCATCCACCTGCAAAACCCATATTTGGCCCACGAATAATTTCCCTGCTGAAAACCTTCCCCTTGCTCAGAATTGACTGCTACAAATCAGACGGTCCATCGCAACCTCCCGAGGTGCTAAAGGTCCACAGCGCGTCCAAGCAAGAGCCCGCATCCAACGGCCACTTGAAAAGTCAAGGCACACTGTGAAACCTTGCTGCAATGGAATTACTGCCAGCTAGACCCATCGTGTCAAATGACAAGATCTGCTTGACTGCAGCAAGAGTGCTCTTCAATTGATGGGTTGATTGAAAATAAACCACTTAAGATACCCGGGGTGTTCTGAGCATAGATCTGAAGGTGACGCCCAGAAATCGAGCAAACGCACAGTTGCCCGCCCACCGCAACCAAACACACTGACATGGAAACCTATGATGCTGCTGCTACTGAGGATGATGACGATGACAACGACAATGATGATTAAAGATGATGATAAAGATGATATGAAAGACAAAAGGTTCAAGATGGCGATGATGATGATGATAATGATGATAATGATGATGACGATTAACGATGACCTTGACGATAACGATGACGATGATTAAGGATGATGATTGAGGATTATGACTAAAGATGATATTAAAGTTGATGGTTGAAGAAGAAGATGATGATGATGATGATGATGATGATGATGATGATGATGATGATGATGATGATGATGATGATGATGATGATGATGATGATGATGATGATGATGATGATGATTATGACAATGATGATGATGATGATAATGATGATAATGATGATGACGATTAACGATGACGATGATTAAGGATGATGATTAAGGATGATGATTAAGGATGATGATTAAAGATGATGTTAAAGATGATATCAAAGATGATGGTTGAAGAAGATGATGAACCATGATGATTCATGATGATGATGATGATGATGATGACGACGATGATGATGATGACAATGGAGATGGCGATTGGCGATGACGACGAGGACGACGATGACGATGACGATGACGATGACGATGATGATGGTGATGATGATGATGATGAATGATGATCTTCAATGCTGACCCTGATGCTAGTGCTTGTGCTGATGCTGCTGTTGCTGTGGCATGTGCGTTTCCTGTCCACTAAGATGAAGCCTGATTGGAGTCCTGGAGACCATGTTCCTCTAGAGCGGACCTATGACTTTCCATGGCACCTGCACCATCCCTCCCGCGTCTCCTCCAAGGGAGGTGCGCAAGGCCTGCGTGAGACCTCGGCGAGATGGTCGTGGCGGGAGCGGTGTTTGTGTCCATCGGTTGGGCTCCAAATACTCAGAATCCTAGACCCTAGGCCAACTGCTTTACCAGCAAAGCAACTAAGTATCCCCCAGAGTTTTACCTAACAAAGTACCCTCCCAAGTGCGTTGCTCAAGACAAACCACCCCAGTTTCTGCTTTTCAGAATTCCGGAACCAGTCGAACCAAGGGCCGAGGAAATCCAAAGGCTCAAGGGAAGCTGGGGACACCTCAGCACCGGCCATTCAGTTGTCACCCCCTTGCACTTTTGATTGGGCCCAAGAGGAAACAAAATCGGCGCAGCCGTTGTGAGGAACTGGCTTGTAAAGGGTTTCCCCACCAAGGAATGAGGAATTGCTCCATCGAACGTCTGGGCGTCCACCAAGCAAACGAGAAACAGCTCCCGCTCAAGCAAAGCTGAGAGCTGTGGAGCGTTGCTCCACATGGATTTGTCATACTTTCCGCAAGGTTACCTGAGGTATCGGTGTCCTTTTTGGGAGTGGGGTTAAAAATCACTTGGAGATCGAGGATGGATGTTTAGTAAACTTGGTTAATTTGAGGGCCAGCTTTCAGACGGGATCCCAAATAGACCTTGCTCCATCAGAATGGATTTGTAATAAACCCCATCAATTGAGGCACCTGTGTCTCAAGAAATTCCAACTGGCTGGTGATTGGATGCTTGCAGTTTGTAACATGTTGCTAGTTAAGTGGCTAAATGGTCATCCCTTTCCTGCTCGTTGGCGATCCATCCCGAAAACTCAGCACCTGGCGTTGTCTTCGTACGTTGGAGGCTAAAATTACCCTTAGCCAAAAATCACTCTCTTAGGGGACACAGTGCGACTTAGTGTAACACAGCGTAGCATAGTGTGACATAGTGTGCAGCGTGACACATTGTGACATAATGTGACATAGTGCGACTTAGTGTGACATAGCGCGGCAGAGTGTGAGATAGTGCGACTGATGAGAAAGTTCGACGGACACCAATTGTCAATATAAATGCTGGACAGCGGCACACTGACGTGCTGTTCGATCATTTCTTCCAAAAAGATACGTTTCAAACTTAGCGTTGCTGAGAGAGTTCTAGTTCTATTTCTGGCCCGCGGTTGTCATCTTGTAGCACGGGATAGAAACCAAACTCCAAATTGTGGATAGCCACCCTATCTGAATCCTGCTGGGGAAAGAGGGCAAAGCCCGGTGAAACATCTCTTTGAACGGCCGTCCAGCTGACTTTTCAGACCATCCACGCAAAGCCCAACGAGGGCCAAGAGTATGGGAAAATGGGCCCCGTTTCATTTCCGGCCGGGACTCCCAGTTGCAAAGCACTGCCTTTTCTCTTTCACGGCAAAGCAATGCGGGTCTTGCATGCCCTAAGGGCCGCGTCTGTACTGGGCATTCCTTTCGGCTCAAGCCTGAGATGGACATGCTTGTCAAGGTGTGGCCAGGACATGACAGGTAGGTCAGTATCTACAAGGAGTGTCTGGGAAAAGCACCAACATGACGTCAACGCAACACGCACCTGGCAGCAGGAAATGGCCCGGTAAGCCCTGGCTTCGAATGCTTGCTTTGACATCGAAAGGGAAGAAGCTAAATTTAAAGCATCAGGGAGACTGCAGGGAACTCCGCGTGTTGGAAAACACCCAAATGAAACGGGAGGGTGACTGCGATTATTGATTGGACCTGGCACTCTGTCGCACTGGGTGTCACACAAAGACAGCTGCAGCGCGGCCATGTCTTGCTTCTGTGGGGCTGGCCACATGTGACGCAGCACCAAGGCCAACAAGCAAGCCAAGAAGTTGGCTGCTTTTCAGACCGAGGGTATCATGAAATGATGCCACGGAAAGTTCTCGCATAGCGCGCCACTAAACTGTTCAAGGCTCACGGGGTGACGGCCCGCTGTTCTGCAAGAAACAGGGAACCCCGTGGGAAGATCAGGCGTGCAGGCCGCCTGGCACGGGCGGAGCGGTCGTGGCCGATCTAGGCGCTATGCATTGGGGCAATATGATATTGCTCTTGAACACCGACAATGCCATGCTTAACAAATACAGGCCCAGTTGTTGTGTTATCTATCAGAGAGCTTCATTGTTCTGCTTGTTCATCCTGGAAGTTTCACGCAGCGTTTAGAATAGTTCATGGCAGCTGTCCTGCTCATTGTTCCGAATGGAAGTGTCTATGAAAGGCAAGAAGGCCTTACTAGAGCCCTCAAGTGAAAGAGAAAGAACAGAGAAGAAGAAAGAGTTCAAATGTCGTGGTGTAAATGACATGCGTCAGAAACCAAAGAGAACAAACCGAGACAAAGTCAAGCAACCACTCTGGTCGCTAGTACTTTTCCCGGCCCCAGGCGAAAGAAGGTGAATTCAACATATGTGAATGCACAAAAGAAACGGAGCCGCATGGAACCGGGGCGTTTCTCTTTGGAATCACGAGTTGCTCACTCACTTGCTTGGTAGGAATCTAAAGCCAATAAATCCAGTACAAATAACTAAGGGGAATGCAAATGATAAAACACCGGTGCCACTGTTCTCCCCATCCTCAGCGACCTGGCCGCGGCACGTCTTCGTCCTGAAACGGGCGCGGAAAGCTGAAAGGGAACTCGATTCGAAAATGGCCGAGGAAAAAACCGAGAAAGGGATGGTCTTCGTGGTCTTCGTTTGAGAACTATGGTTGCCAAGTTCCGCATGCCAACTGACAAACCCAGCAACCAACCAAAGCTATGGGATCCTACAGGTTGACTTCTGCTAGCATAACGTGGATTTGAAACCTCATGCGTCCTCCGTTCAAAGTAGACATATGTCGTGATGATTTGCGTGCCAACATAGGTAAGAAATTCGGACCTGAGCAAAGTTCGCAAGCGAGTGTCACCAACTTCTTCTTGAGTCACTCCCTACATATCAAGGAGTAGAGAAGCATCAATACACACGCGTGCACACAGACACACACACACACACACACACACACACACACACACACACACACACACACACACACACACACACACACACACACACACCGCGACACGTGGGCGGAATCAACTGACTTTTTCCCAATCGCTTCTGCAAAGCTTGTCATAGCCCTCACGATTTCCTGCTCAACCGAGAACACAATCATGGGCCATGGTGAAATTTGATTGGGTACCCTGGACCTTTTGGTGGAGATCAACTGACTTCTGTCCACCAACCCGCAATTCGGTGTCTTCCCATTCAAACATATTGTGGGTCAAAACTAATGGTACCATTTTGGGGTAGGTGCACCACCCATTTTAGTCTATTTTAGTGGGGATTGGGATGTTCACTGGCGGTTCGGGATTTTGACCCATGGCCATATCGCCATGTATCGCACCGTGCTAGCGGCAAAGCGAGTGTCCCCCCCCCCCCCCCTCCATCTCATCGTTCAGCCCCACGATCTGCTTCACCGCGGGGAGGTAGTGGTCCATCCTACAGGCAGAAAGATACTGAGGAAGGACCTTGAGCCCTTTGGAGGTCGAGGGCAGTTCAAATCTGTTTCTCACACAGCAACAAAAAGCCAGATTGTTTTGTTAAACTGAGAGCCCGACATGACCTCATTGCCAAGTTTCAGGTAACTGCACCTGGAACTTCTCCTTTTTGCTTCAAACGCAACCCCAGAGTGTCCAAAGTTGGGAGCTTGCTTGCAATGGTTTCGAACGGAAACCCGTTTGGAAGGCCCACCGTGTGTTTTACCGTTTGTTGTCTCATCAGCTTTGCTGTTGACGCAGGATCGTTCTGTGCAAGCACATGTTTCTCATAGAAACCCAGGAAACAAGCCATCTTCCATGGGGCGCTCGCCCCAATTGAAGAAAATGCAGCTCCGCAGTTGACACCGCAGTTGTCGACCGCCAAAAGGCGTCAGCGACTGGGGGCCGGGCAAGTTCTTGACGCCCTCCTGCAAGGTCGCGTGGGACATGGCGCAGCCCGAGCAGGAGCCCACCATCCGCACGTAGAGGCTGCCGTCCTTGTGGTCGAAGCCTGCAGTTTTGGGAAAATCCGGCGGAAGGGTCTCAAGATTATCTGCGCATGGAATGTCCGGAGAAAAAAAAGAAAAAAAACATCCCTGACGCGAGCTGGTAAATTTGATGTTCGAAGTGGCCAAATGCTGTTTTTTAGGATCTGCGGCGTTCTTGGCGACAAGAACGCGCGGAAGATGGGCAGTCCATTGCCGCTCGAGTGAGAGTTTGTCACAAGACTGCTCGCCCTGGGTACTCCACCCCCAGCTGTGCTCTCTCCTTCTTGCCAGCCAGCTTCAACCCCACTACCTAGGTCTTCTTTGGTCAAGTTGTATCGCCCAACAAATGAACTCCTGATGGATCCCCGATGCTTCCGACGGGCTTTGCATTTTCAAAGGCATGTCAATGTTGGTCGAGTCACGGACGAACTCGATGTCCCCTCCATCCTGCTGAACAAAAGGCTTGACCCGCTCCTCAGACAAGCTGATGCGTTGGTGATCACAAGGAACCAAGCAAGCGACTCACACTTACATTCAGCACTGACTCCATGAACTGACATGTGTTTGTAACTTTAGTAGAGCAACCATTTGAATCATTGCGTCTTCTCGCGCGTGCGCTCATGCCTCGCCATTCCGACACAGCTATCTCCGAGCAAGGCAACAACCATGCCTACTGGGCCCCTTCAAAAACTCACGGCTCAGGGATTGCAAAGAAGAAACACTCCGAGGCCCCACTGCTGACAACCGTAAGCAAGCACATGCCTATACTTCGTTTGTTGCAGTCAAAAGCCAAGCTTGCTCCAGCCGTGGCAAAATCACGTTCCAACTGCTTCTGTACACTGTCAACAACGCTTACATACGCTTACAAGTTACACGGCCTGGTCAAGAACATGGAGGTAATGGGTTGAAATCTAAGATGGACACTATCCAAATATACATGATTGTTGCTCCGATATCAGTGTGCATGCGTGCGTCAGCATCAGGGCACCCCCCTTCCCTTCTCGGATTGGCTGACTTTCTTTTGGCATTCCCGTTCCCAGACATGGTCATATCCAAATGTCTGCTTGCCGGGCTTTGGCCCCTTCAAAATCCTCAAAAGCCCGAAGATGCCAACCTCAGCATCCAACACATCCAAAATCCAGAATTTGCAGGATCCCCTGAATCCTCGAAACTGCCCTGTCGGCTTCAGGTTGCCTTGGGCCCAAAGGGGTCAAATCCGGCTCCTCCAAGAGCTCGAGGATCTGAGCCTCGATGCTTCCTTCCTCGAAATCCTGACTCAAGCCAAGCCGAGCGCTCGGCTCGCGGGTGCGGGATCAAAACAAACTGTTTAGGCATCAAAAGAAAACTAACTCCTGAAGATCCAAAAAAACACCTATTAGGAATCAAAAAAAAGCTTCCTCTGATAGATTTCCTACTAAAATAAAAACTCACAGGATCCAAAAAAAATGTTAGGGATCAAAATCACTTCTTCAGGCGCAGCACTTTCGCAAGGTCAGGTACAGATTTCGCAGCAGGCACAGCACTTTCGCAAGGTCAGGTGCAGATTTCGTGGCAGGCGCAGCACTGTCGCAAGGTATGGTACAGATTTCGCGGCAGGCGCAGTACTTTCGCAACGTCAGGCGTAGTACTTTCGCAAGGTACGGTACAGATTTCGCGGCAAGCGCAGCACTTTCGCAAGGTCAGGTACAGATTTGCGGCAGGCGCAGCACTCTCGCAAGGTACGGTACAGATTTCGCGGCAGGCGCAGCACTTTCGCAAGTTACGGTACATATTTCGTGGCAGGCACAGTACTTTCGCAAGGTACGGTACAGATTTCGTGGCAGGTGCAGGACTTTCGCAAGGTGCGGTACAGATACCCCCCCATGATGTTCGAAGAAGTGATGATTCAACAAAGGGTGATGATGATCGAAGATGTGATGCTTAGGGTGCGTTAATCTCTGCAAACATTCCGAAAATCAGTTGGGGGGTTGGGGGGGGCGGCAGCCCCCCCCATGATGTTCGAAGAAGAGATGATTCAACAAAGGGTGATGATGATCGAAGAAGTGATGATTCAGCAAGGGTGCGTTAATCTCGGTAAACATTCTACAAATCAGCGGGGTGGTTGGGGGGGGCCTTCCTTTCTTCCTTCCTTCCTTCCTTCCTTCCTTCCTTCCTTCCTTCCTTCCTTCCTTCCTTCCTTCCTTCCTTCTCCCCATAGGAATGAGAAGAAGTTTCTTTTTGATCCCTAATAAGTTTTTTTTTATGCCTATCCCTCGGCTCGCTGCGGTTGAAAAAAAGAACAGAGGGGTGAGAAGTGGCGACAAGAGTATGGTGGGTGAAATCCCTTCCGGATGGCATACAGTCAGTCATATCTGCGCAAGTTGCCTCTGATAGGTCTAGGATGACTAGGAGCACGACTAGGCTAGACAATCTATGGTGCAACCAACCACGTTAGTGGCAAAATCATGGGCCAGCAAGACGTCCCATAGAATTTCGAGCGCGGTGCCAGGACTTGTAGAAATTTGAATCCTGCTTCACCAAAGGGACACAGGTCTCTCCCATGTGGGTCCAGCCTTGCAGCAATCAAACCCTAGGAATGAGTACGACCCCTCCCCCCTTTCAATGAATATGCTTCAGGGGAGAACAATGCCATTGGCGCACCTAGCATGTGCCCTATGAAGCTCCGAGTAATGCGCGGATAACAATTCAGAGGGAAGCAGCTGCGAATTGCGGAATGCTCGTTGTGAAAATCAATGCCACTCAAAGATGCCTTCAGACACAGAATAGAAACGACCACATGTACAATCCAGCTCTGGATGGAATGGTTGCCGCTGCGTGGGTGACGGGTACCAGACAAAAACTGGCAATAAATGAAGTTGCACCCACCTGAGAATACAAGCGCTTGAAAATTGCGTACGGCTCCTCTCCTAGTTCGAACCAGGTCACTTGTAATAGACCGAGAATATTCATAGCTTGCTTACTTTTGAGAACATCAAGCTATAAAAGATGGAAGAAGGAGCAAAGCCTGAAAGGACATGCCCCAACATCACCTGCTTCGCAACGCGATTTTCCAAATCAGCTGGTCAGCAATCCAGGGATGTTTAAACATGTGCAACAAAAGCCATGTTAATCTGCGGGAGTAAGGCCGTCTGGTTGAACAGGAGCTCCCAAGAGGGAAACGATTCATCCGGACATGGCTTCATTTGAAGTGAGCGGCCTGGGGATCGATGCTCTCCACTGCGTCCGGGTCCACAGCCGGCTTTCCAGCCTCACATGGCCATAAGGATTGCCGATCCGCATCTCAGCTTGTGGTTGGAGAGGAAGGGGTGGACTGCAACCTATGGGCTTTCCCTTGAAAGTGGGCGCTCATTTATGAGGTTGAATAGGCAAGCCTCTTGAAATGCTGGACTGAATCCTTAAATGATGTTGTAAAGGGGCATCATATTCATACCAACCAAGAGTCATATACTTGATGCTGGTTCATATTTAGTGATGCCTATGGGCTGCCTATGAATGTAAAACCTGTCAAAGAAGATCCCCGCGTGCTGTGTGCAGAACCCCCAAGCAGACCCAGCAGGCTATTGGCGCCCAAAAGAAGGTGAAGGAAGCCGAATGGCGAGATCTCCATGTTTGGAGGAAAAATGCAAAGTTCACGATTGTCCTATGGAAAGCAGAGGTAGGACCGAGCAGGCCAAACAAGGACCCCTGGCATAGACACGCCAGCTCTGTCGCAGGGCTTGAGGCTGACCGCATCTGCTGGCTTACAGCTCAGCATCCTTCTGGCGATGTGCGTCTTGGCCGCAAAGGCTCAAGGCAAGTTCATCTGGCTCTCCAACAGTGACACCGAGCGCTTTTGCACTCCAAAAGAGAAAGCACACACACACAAACAAAAAAAAACAAAAAACGCACACACTATCCGCGCACTTCAAGAAGCGCCCTGCAACAGAAACACGCAAAGAAATCAAACAAAACACCTTCCAGCAGCTGTACTCACCGTCAGCACCATGAACATGTAACAACTTAGGGTGCCCTCAACTGTGGTTCAAAACATAGTTGACAGCGTGCCTAAGTACCAGACCTCACCAACCCCCGGTTGTGCAACTGTGTACTATGTCTACTGCAAAGGCCGAACCAATCACACACATGCACAAACCGAAATCACATGAGAAGCAAGTAAACCAATGACAGCCAGCCATGCATTTTACATTCTCGCCTTGACAAAGGGCGTTGAGTTCAATGTCGCAACTTCAGGTCCCATTCATGATGAATTGAAGCCCGCAAAGGGATTTTGCTTCTGCAATCCGTGCATGGAGTCTATTTGACATTCAATTCTGGTCTGGTAAGTCGCGCGGTGGTCGGGCTCTGATGACTCATAATGGGCAGGAAGGCCTATCTTAACGTAAAATACAAGTCGCGTAATGATTCTTTGACTGGAAAGTGGACACCAACCGTGCCAAGCACGAACCCCAGCCGAGTCACCTGGTAGAACTGGCTGATCTCTTTCTCCACCACTTCCTGCAGGCACTTATCTTTGACCGAATCGTATCACATCAGCTTCAAAGTTGGGCTATGGCATGCTCCAAACCATACGCCCCGGTAGACCGCAATCACTGCAAGGACATCCCTCCTACACAGAAATGCAAGGGCTTTCATGGTGCCCCATCTGGTGGGGAAATTCAGGACTGCCCCCTCAACAAAAACATAATGTATATATATATATATGCATATGTACGCACATATACATATACATATACATATACATACATATATATATATATACATATGTTTTCTCTATATAGATCATCACCCCCCCAAGATCCACATGTTACCTCTTGCAAGCAAAAAACACTGGAACAACAGGCAACATGCGTGATTTTAACGATTCTGATCCTACAAATGGTGGTCAAACACAAGCATCATTCTTGATGAGCAATCAAGAAAAGATCATGTTTGATGAGCAGTTCAGAAAGTGACTCTTCTCGATTTGCAGATGTTAGGCAGCTTGATGCAGATGCTTGCAGATGGTTTGTGTGGACAGCCTTCTGGACAAAGAGCTAGCAGGGTTCAGATGGAACTTATGGAAGCAGCATGCAGAAAAATATATATATACATACATATAGATATGCACATATATATGTATATACGATATACAGGGCCGAAATTGTCTGAACCCTTGACCACTTCATGTCAAATGAACGCGCTGCTGTCACAGCCCGCCAGTCCAAGGCAACTTCTTGAAAGTCAGAGAGAGAGAGAGAGAGAGAGCCAAGGCGCGAGAGAGAGAGAGCGAGAGACAAGGCGCGAGAGAGAGAGAGACAAGGCGCGAGAGAGAGAGAGAGAGAGAGCGAGAGCGAAAGAAGGAGAGAGGGCGAGAGAGAGCGAGAGAGAGAGAGGACAAAGTGATATAGAAAATGCCGACGACACACGTCTACGAGTCTAGGGCCATGGAATCTCTGAGTGTCCACCCAATCTCGGCGTGAGTGGCATGCATTCCTTCACTGAGCTTAGCCAACACACTGCGACTTCCGTCTTTTCTCACCTTGACGCAGGATTTCTGCCAAGCTGGTACCAGATTCTAAGTCCATCTGAACAATGCACAACATGTGCATTTGATGTACAAGTTGCTGCCTGAAGCCATGCATCGTTCACCTGGTAACGGGCCTGCTATATCTGAATATATCAACATATGGATGGTTCTCATCCCAATACAATGTGCATCTTCCAGCATTTGTCTTGCTTTTCACTCTTTATCCAGGGTCCAGCCATGCATCTTTTGCATTTCACCTCCGTACATGCCGAATATGCGAAACAGGACACATCAATGTACCGCATCCCTCCGTCCAGAGTCATCAGGGTAGATGAGTGGCGCTTGTCAAGAGGAGACTTCTCTCCAGACTCATTCTGCCGATTCTTCGTCTGAAGGGCATCATCTGCAAAAGGCCCAGGCCACATAGATATATCGAATCACTGCTTTTTAAAATGCATATTGAACTACAATATTGAACATCTCAATCCATTAGAGCAACATTGTGTGGATAGGTCGCCAAATTTGGCAGCATCAAACAACCCTTCAAAAATCCTCATAACAGATATGCCACCGGGACGATCTCCGAGCTTGACATGAGGTGGCCGCCCTGGAATGTGTCTTGGATGATGTCAAAAGAGCCAAAAAGAAACCGCTGCCATTGGTTTGACGCCTTGCCTTGAACCGCAAAATGTTGGAGGCAGATTCCAACTGATGTCTGCCCTTGCAAGGAAACTGCAACTCATTTCTTGACCAACTCACTTCAGAGCTTGGCACCTTTTCGGGGTACTGTCTACCCAAAATTCATACACTGTTGGTGGATTGGTAGGGGGTGCCTCATTTTAGAAGGGATCGGTTTTGGGGAGAACTGCCAAAATCCGCTGTATGCAGTATCGCTCATCCGCGAAATCGGCTTTCCCCGAAAATCTCTGTGTGTGGGTAGCTCCCATTCAGCCCGGAAAGGGTCAACACCCCCAGTCGGCGCGCCTGCAGCTCCTCCCAGTCGGCGATGGTGGCCTTGGTCACCGTCACGTGGCCAGATGCCAGCAGCACCTCTCGGCGTCCGGTCTCTGGAGACGTGAGGCCCAAGGCACCGGACGTCTTTCCAGCCCACAGCCCACAGCCCGGCGGCGAAACCGGCGTGGCAGCTTATTTTAGGGTCAGAAGTGGCCTGGTTGGAGCAAAAGCCGGGCATTTGGCAGCTGAAAAATGACCACCGCGTCTCCAAAACGCGAAGTGCCCTGAGTACTTGGATGGACTCCGCACCTGGATTGACGAGAGAGCCGTTTCCCGGTGATGGGAAGCAATGGCGCCACCTGTCTTGGATGTTCAAGGGAAATTCACCCAAGAGGGAACACGGTGAGGGGGAACTGGACTGCCGTAAAGCATCGTTCACGCTGCCTCTATGCTGGCTAGCAGTTCGCTTCAACCACCAAGCACAGCGCTACCAACTGCTGCAACATCCTTTCCTCCACGCCTCCACGAATTTGCTGTCCCCCAGCCTGGTTTCTGATTGGTACATGTCACAAACCCCCTGTGGTCTTGAATAACCATAGGGCCAAATTGATGCTGAAATAAATTCACCATCAAGGTCAGACATATTTATGCCAACATCGGAGAGCATGTTGTTGGCATATGTGTTAATTCATGCAAAAAAAACGATGTCATTTAGTTGACCATTCGAATGGATTAGACTATCAACCAGCTGACTTCTGGTATCAGCCTGCGTCAAACTCCTTCTGTGTGACAGGAACCCTCCTGGTGGCTGCAACAAAACAGTTCCCTGTGCATGATATAAGCCTGAGTTGAGGACCCTTTGGTGGACATCATTCACATGGCTGTGGGTCAAAAGCCAAATCGTACCCGCAGGGAACATCCCAATCCAACCACTAAAATAGGTTCGAATTCTAAAATGGGTGGTGAGTTCACCTACCCCAAAAACAAATACCATTGGTTTTGACAACCACAGCCATATGTCGATCTGACCGCGCCACCGAGCCCGCCTCGCGCACGCCCTCGAGCTCCAGCAGGGACTTGGCCAGCGGCGCCTGCAAGGCCTGGCCGCCGGAGATCTCCGCTTGGAGGACCCCCCCTCTTCATTTGGCTGTGGGTCAAAAATCGGGTAATCCCAAAATGGAACCCAGGCAAATGGACACATGGACTAAAACCTGCGGTCCCCTGGGGGGTTAATTTTAAGCCACACCCATCTGCCAAGAGGAGCAAGGAGATCATTGCCATTTTGGGGGGTGTCATGAGACGGAAATAAGGAGAGCACTGCCATGTTGAGTCTCATTTAGGGACAAACCCAAATTCTCGGGTGCTCTTCGGTTCCCCTTTCGAACCATGTCAAGGGTACAAAAGACAGCTGCGGTGACACTAGAAACTGCGTTCACCTGGGCGGTTAGAACGGTTTTTTTTGCGCAAGCCTTGAGAAGAGGTTCAACACAGCAACAAGAGGTCAGTGATTTTGAAATGATCAATCTCCCACTGAAAGCAGAGTAACTCTGGATTCATGGAGCATCTTGGCGCAATGAGTCAATTTGGGGGGGAAGCACACCCGTATTCATCCGTCAGGCGATTCATCCGTCAACTTTAGACAAGACGGCTTCAACCTCCGCGCCTCATGGGGGCTCCTGAAGAGCATCGTCCTCCCAGGACAAAAGGATTGACAAACGGATTTCCAAATATGCGCAATTTCCTGAAGTGGCCATGAGAAACGCACAACGTTTACACCTCAAAGTATCTCCCACATGTTGACCCGAAATTACGATTGCACCACAAGCCGAAGCATAAGATCCGCTTGCGAAGGCTGGACAGCCGAAAGGGCCTCCAATGGCCAAAACATCTGTTGCGGGAGCCCCAGGTTCAATCACAAAAAGATCCATGAGGCAAAGCCAAAAAGCCGAATCCCCCCGTTCCGCAGTCTTTGTGCCGCGGCCCAGCACGTCAGCGCCCTCAAGGACGAACTTCATGGATTTGGGATTCGGGGTCACCTGGCAAGGTGACAGGCCACGGGACCCTGGGGACTTGTACCTCAACTCTCCGTGAGTACTTAGACTTAGCCATCCCAATTGATCCAAACCTCAAAGCTATGCGGAAACGAAGCTGGCTGTTTACCCCCTTGGGTTGCTCAATCAATGCTGGAAATTTGCTGACGCCCGTTGAAGACATGGCGTTGTCTCTAGAAGGGTGGCGAGAAGTGGCAAAGGGAACCTCAGCTTGCTCGCAAAGCACACGCACATCCAATGCACGGTTTCAGGGTGCCGAACTGCAGTCACACAGGTTGTGTCCGAAGCCCTTAGTGTGAGACCAGCATCCTGAATATCCCCGTTTCTAAGCGCAGAGCTGGCGCTTCCACCATGCTCCCGCGAAACCACACGAACTCCGAGCGGCGCGTCCCCTTGCCTCCGCTGAGACGGAGATCCCACGCAGGAAGCACCTCAGCGGTCATACCAACAAACATGCAACAAGCAATGGATCTGATAAGGCCTTTCGGTTAAAAGCACACTTGAAAGCAGAACCGTAATCCCAAAAATCCCTGAAAATATTAAGCCCTTAAGTTCCCAAAATCTCGAAACAGGAGAACACAACCGCGCTGTTGTTTCCCACAGGCTTTGAGGTGAGAAGTTTGCGAAGCAATCTATTCAGCCAGCCCAACTTCTGACAGGCTGACAATGCTTTTACTTCGGGCTTTTGGCTTTTGGGGCGTAGGGTGTTTTAGGGTCTAGGAGTCTTGGGGCTTGAAGGCTTAGGATTTCCCAGGGTTTCTGGGGTTTCGGTTTTAGGGCTTGGGCTCAAGCTAGATCCAGGCATCTGCCCGCCAAATGTCCAGCCCCTAATTGGATGTGGTTTCTCGTGCCTTCCGGGCTCTTTACAAAAGACACCAATGGAAAGCCACCATGTTTTGTTCGAATTTGGAGACAGCCTCAACCTTGCTTCAAAACGCTAAACTTTTGTGTGCTTAATGGAAAGCCCCTCAATTTTCCAAAAAGTTAAAGTCTAAAGATCCAAACCAATAACAGCCAAGCAATTGCCTTGCGCTTGGCTGACCCACTACGATTCCTCGCCACGCCACGTCAGCGGCGAAAGCCGCGGCGGCAGAAGCCGCGGTGCCAGCGCCAATCGCCCTCCCGTGCGCCGCGCCAGCGCGGGCAAAGCCATAGCTACAGCTTGCCAAAGGGACAGGGGGAGTTGCGTATACCCAAAGGCCGGTGCTATGAAAGGAATGTGTTGAAAGAGCCTTCTTTGGGTCAACTCACCTGGCTTTCTTTCGCACCGGCTTGGAAATGAAAAGGTGAGTGTCCAAGCCAAGTGCTGGCCGTTTCTTTCAGAGTGCCTCAAGAGCTGCTTTGACAAAGAGCTGCGGCAATTGATCAAACTGACATACGGTCTGATTTCCTGAAGTCAAGGCCGGGGTTCGTGGCGGACCCAGACACCCAGTGATTGGCCTCCTGAAATGTCCATTCTTTCGAGGAGGGTTGCCTTTAAGGCTTCGCTTTTGATGTTGCAACCTATAGTGCAAACTAGTCAGGAAAAATCGGCACCGCTCTTTGTTGAAACCTGCTTGTTCAGCTGAGATAGAAGCTGTTGACACCAACTGCTTCTGGGCTGTGCACAAAACCTCGCTGCAATTCCTTTCTCGGGGAAATCGGTTCTCTCTAGTGCTCTGCACTCTCTCAAACACGTGGTGACTCATCCCCCAGTAAGGGGCTGGAGGAAAACAAGCCCGAAAACAACGATTGCTTAATAGTCACTGTTCTTGCCATGGCTGGACATCCTGCTGCGCGGGAGGACCCATATTTGCGGACGAGTGGCAGTGGCGGTGGAACACATGGCCGCAGAAGGTGATGGCATTGCAGCCTTCCGATCAGAACTGAGGGCTTGATCCCTTACACGATGTGTCGCTCTCATGGAAGCGCAAAGCAGCTGTGAAATAGGATTCACAAATTGCCCCATGAGTACGTCACATCGGAAAGGTGTCACCAAGTAAAGTAGCCTGTTACCAGGAATCCCTTTTGCCCATGGCCAGTTGGCTGTCTCTCCCAAAATGGCAATCGATTTGCTTTTCAAGCCCCTGCCAAAGCGGGTGTCGAGTTTTGACGGGGTTGCCAATGGTTCCTTGTTAAGTATAATCTCATACATGATCCTTTTGGGGTGAATATGGTCGGTGCCTCGAAACACGAGCGCTATTTTGGGCCAACTCTGTTCTCAAGGCAAGATAAGAAGATGCTGGGCTTGACGTGATCTCTTGTACATGCAGCACACGGCGCATGGGGATGTTGGCTCACACGAGCCGGCTGAGGTGCAAAATGCCTCGATCCATTTCGCTAGGAGCCCCGGCCATCTTGCCAGCAGATCGCACACTTTTCGTCCTGCGTGCCAATCGAGCCAAAGTCGGTACAACTAAACCCGTCTCGGCCCCGTGAAGGAAAACAACAGAAAGTTGTTTCAATAAGAGGTGTTTAAACAGCTTTGAGCAGGGGTTGGCCCAACCACGCGTGCACATCTCAATTGGGAACTAGTGAATGGCCACGTTACCTTCCGAAAAGGACACCTTGCCGCACCAGGTGGCAGTGTTTCGGAAAAAGGCGGGGTTTCAAAAACTCAGCTCCGACTCTCCTGCGCTTGCGTCTCGAAAAGGTCTTCCAAGCGCTCAGTGCTGAGTTCGGCGATAGCCTGGCGGTCAATCTGGCAGAGGGAAACCCGAAAGGACGTTCCGGGTTCCCCAGACCGGCGAGTTCTGTGTTGGGTTCCCTTGAAACCAACCTAAGCAAGGGCGCCCTGAAGAAACACACACGAGTACGATGTTTGCAGCAACTCCAAAGGCTGAAAAAACGGTTTTACCCCAGATGAGCTCGCCGCGAAAATATGCAGAACTTGATGGCTCGCACGGAATGGGAACTGAACTGCAACACTCCCCGCATTGTGAACATTCACCCCCCCCCTTCTCTGCGAGCTTTGCACCAACCTGAGCAATCCATGCGGATTTCCACCTACATAAGCCAAACTAGAGTAGCTGGCCACACGAGCTTGCGGAAGCTCAAATTCGGACTTGCTCCTTTCAAGAGGAGCACGGGCGCGGGCAACAAGCAAAAAATATGGGAAAGGCTGAAAGTTAGAATCCCAGCATTGGTTGGTTTGGAATTGTATCTTTGCAGCTTGAACGCCAACCCCTGAAGCTGTGGATACAGGTATCACAAACCACAACACCCCAGCACACTGGAAGCATGGCAATGACTTCAAGTGGGTTCAATCATCTTCCAGGTGTCTCAATTTGTCACTTATCTAAGCACTCCCTCCAACTTCGCACGCGTCTTTTAGACCATTTTGTGGCTTCCCATTTGGAGGAACACCCATCTGCAAAGCCCCGGGCTGGCATTCTTCAAGTGGCTCCCTGGCCTCAGCCGCCACATCCACGGCACGATTGCTGTTGGCGGCGTACAGCACGCAGCCGCGAGCCTGGGAGAGACTAGAACCTAGGTCGTCCAGTAGAGAGGTTAGAATAAGGGTACCCTTTTCTCTGTAGTCTATTTTAGTAAGGGAACCCTCCCCCGACCTAGGAACTTAAAGACAATTTACTTTTGGGGGTTTCCCTTTTGGCCAGCAGAGAGTAAATTTCAGGGCGTCACTTCTAATGGAGCCAGTAACCCTGGCTGATTTTCTGCCGAGAACTTCATTGGGTATGAAATCCCCAGACGCCAAAACATCACCAGAATCTGCTGCACCTCAACCAGTGCGCGCCCCGCATCAAAAACATCATCTTGTCGAAAAGACCATATACCTTTGTCCAACATGATGTTTCCTTCTTCATACCTTTTGGCCTACCATTTGTTGGCTCTACACCTTTTGAGAGCCCATAGCCGCAGCTTCCTTTGGAGGGTGGGGGGGGGGGATCGGGGGATCCGCTCGTGGCCCCGTGCGGAGCTCTGCGCGTTCTGGCTGGCAAAGGCCAGGGCAACCACCGCCGCCGTCCTGCGGACCAAATCAAGCGAAACCAAGCGGAGATTGGAAGGACGTGTCCACCTTTCCACCTTTTGCAGGCCAGTGAACTTCCAGTTCAACACAATGCTCTTTTAGGTTTGCTTTTGTTGGGGCTGGTAAAAGTGGGTAGAAGAAAGGAAGTCCCGGTGGATGCTTGTCGATTAGATGCAGGATCGGCAACTGACCCAAAAAAAAAACGCAGCTATTTAAGCTGGCTGTGTGGTTGGGGATGCTGTGGTACAATTGTAGCGCAAGGATGCGCAGTCGCAAATGGACAGAAAGAAGGATCCGTCAGTGGAC